AATACGAAGTAGTGCTGTGTTAAGCTCAATTTGTCCCCAGGATTGTCAACACGGCATAGAACATCTATCCATCAGCTAGTAGTCGTGGCGGTTTGAGGGGTCGTTTCTGGGCATTTGGCTGATCTTTTTCTCTTCATCCACACGGAATCCACAGCCGAAGATCACAAAAAAGACTATTAAGCTCAATTACCCTGAGGATTTGCACTGTGTGCGACACTCCCTACGACTACATAGTCATAGGAGCGTAGTTCAGGGGCTTTGTTTTGTGGGTGTCGGGCTTTTATCGGCTTCCACTGTCCTAGTCCAAACATGTACAAAGTTAGCAGAGTAGTCCTTGAGGAGTGCACTTCAATCGCCACCCACACAGCGTAGAGTCAGGTATTGAGGGTCGGTTGGGGTGAGGGTGGTCTTTTAAATCTCCCACTTCATAGCGAACGAATACCGAAAGCTCTGGCTCACTTGATCCAGTCGAGCAATTCCCGTGCGTGCCGCCACACGGGGGGGGGTGGGGGGAGTAAAAAATGTTGTCCCACCTGCCACAAATCTCACCTCCACTGTACACTCCTGCCATTCACTGCCCAAATGTTGAATGGCTATTTTCCTTCCCCCCCCCTCCCATTGTTTTTTCTCTTTTTTTCTCACTTATCCCTCCCTTCCCCTACCTTCTTTATGCTCCTTTACCTTTCTTGCGTTCGAGGTTTCTTGTCCTCCCCTGCCTCCTCTAACCCTTTTCCCCAGGTTCTTCTTGCTCTCCACGTCTTTCAGGCTTATCTCTTTTATCTCTCCCGTTTCCTATTTTTCTAATTCCTTCGGATTTGATGGCTGTCTTCATGAGATACTCTCATACTCCAAAAAACCCTTCACTGGCCCACGCGGTGATTGAAAACGGAACCTTTCCCTTCAAACCTCTCCGCAGGTGTGTCCATATTGCTGTGGGCGTCTTTTCCGTGGACCTTTGGGCGAGCAGAGAACTCTGAACAGCATCACACACTGTATATACCAACATCGAGAGAGGAATTCAAACGATGCCAATGACTTATGACATTTTGGGGCATAAAGTTTTCTAGAACTTTTAGCAAGATAATGGAGGAAAGGCTGGCAAACTATCCATCCTGAATACCTACAATATAGTTGAGAGAATGGGCAGTGCAAAGCCCCTAGGAAGTTACGCAAAATTGGGCTTGTATTTATGTGCACGGAAAAGGAAGGCGACAGTCCAAAATCCTGAATGATGGTGGAAAATAACTCTAAATTGTTCTTACTTTTCCAGGGCTAAAACAGAATGCAGTATATGCAACCAACTGACGCATTCTGATACCTCGAGTGGAGCAGGAGAAACGCGTGGCAAATAGTCATAGAAATATACCGTACGCGGTTGGAAGGGAGAGGCAAAATCAATTTGAGAGGGGAAAGCATTGTTTTTCTTCGAGAGGGAAGCATTGTATTTCTTCGGAGAGGGAGAGCATTTGTTTTTCTTTCGTAGAGGGAGAGCATTTGTTTTTTGCTTCGGAGAGGGAAGGCATTGTTTTTCTCTTGGAGGGGAAAGCATTGTTTTTCTTCTTCGGAGTAGGGGAAAGGCCTTGTTTTTCTTCGGAATGGGAAAGCTTGTTTTCTTTCGGAAGAGGGAAAGCATTAGTTTTTCTTTCGGAGAGGGGAAAGCATTGTTTTTTCTTTCGGAGAGGGAAAAAGTCTTGTTTTATCTTCGGAGAGGGAGCCTTAGTTTTTCTTTTCTTAGAGGGAAAGCATGTTTTTCTCTTTTTCTCAGTTTCCTTCGGAAAGAGGAGGAAAGCATTGTTTTTCTGCTGCGGAGAGGGGAAAGGCGGCATTGTTTTTCTTCGAGAGGGGAAGGCATTGTTTTTCTTTCGGCGAGGGAAAGGCCATTAGTTTTTTCTTCTTTCTCAGGAGAGGAAGCATTGTTTTTCTATCGGAGAGGGGAAAGCAATTGTTTTTCTTTTCGGAGAGGGAGAGCATTGTTTTTCTTCGAGACGAGGGAGGCATTGTTTTTCTTCGGAGATGGAAAGCATTGTTTTTTTCTTCGGAGAGGGAAAGCATTGTTTTTCTTCTTCGGAGAGGGAAAGGCAATTGTTTTTCTTGCGGAGAGGGAAAGCTTGATCATTTTTTCTTCGGGTAGAGGGGACAGTCACTAGTTTTTTCTTCGGAGAGGAAGGCATTGTTTTTCTTCGGAGAGCGGAGAAAGCATTGTTTTTCTTCGGAGAGGGGAAGAGCATTGTTTTCTTCTTCTGAGAGGGTAAAGCATTGTTTTCTCTTGCGGAGAGGGGAAAGGCATTGTTTTTCTTCGGATAGGGAAGCAAATGTTTTCTTCGGAAAGAGGGAAAGCCTAGTTTTTCTTTCTGAGAGGGGAAAGAGCTTGGATTTTTCTTCGGGAGGGAAAGCATTGTTTTTTCTCATTCGGAGAGGGGAAAGGCATTGTTTTTTTCCTTCGGAGAGGGAAAGCATTGTTTTTTCTTCTTTCGGAGAGGAAGCATTGTTTTTCTGTGGCGGAGAGGGAAAGTGCATTGTTTTTTTGGCTTGCGGAGAGGGAAAGCATTTGTTTTGCTTCTTCGGAGAGAGGGAAAGCATTGTTTTTTTTTTTTTTTTTCGTAGAGGGGAACACTAGTTTTCTTCTTCGTGAGGGAAGCACTATTTTTTCTTCGGAGAGGGACAAAGCATTGTTTTTTAATTTTTTCGGAGATGGAAAGGCAGCTAGAATTTTTCTTCGGAAGGGAAATCTTGTTTTTCTTCGGAGAGTGAAGGCATTGTTGTTCTTGCCTATCGGAGAGGGGAAGCATTGTTTTTCTTCGTCAAGAAGGGAAGCATTGTTTTTCCTTTCGGAAGGGGAAGGGGCATTGTTTTTTCTCTTCGGAGAGGGAAAGAACAGCTAGTTTTTCTTCGGATAGGGGAAAGGCATTGAGTTTTTCTTAGGAGAAGGGAAGGGCACTAGTTTTTCTTCGAGAGGGAAAAGCATTGTTTTTCTTCGGGAGAGGAGGGGAACACGTTGAAAAAGCTCAACAAAAAACTTTGGACTTGTATATACCATGGGTCTCAAATCGCCTCCCGCTCACAATATACCACTGTATAATTGACGTGCAGCTCGATAATAAAAAAAAACCTTAATGGAAAATGTCTCGTAACATGCATTCAGTGTAGGTGCTCACGTCAAGCAGTAAGTGGAGGGAAGTAGGACATGCAGGCGTTTTACGGCAACTGGACAGAATGTCCTCGCATCTGCCACGAGATAAATCTTGGCTTTAGCTTCCCTCAACAGCTCTTGGCCAGCTATGGCGAGAGACCGGCAAGGGAGGAAAAAAGGTTTGTACTCCTCGGCGCTGAAGGAGAAAATAAAAAGAAAAATTGGCATTTTCTATTATTCACCCCCAGCGTCACCCTAAATTTTATGCACACCCTTCGTGCACTTGCATCGCAGTAAGGTGTTTGACACACACAATAACGTGATAGATGAGAGGTGATGACCTGTAGTCTCATGAGGTTAGTACTGATAGAGGTTCTGAGCTCTCCTCAGAGTGGGCGAAGTTCGTCGTGCGTGAGGCGGTTGGTAGAGACCTGCAATGTGAGTCTTCTTCCCACCTCCTCCCCCTCCTCCTCCCACACTCACATCTCCACCACCCTCACCAGCTTCACCTTCTATCTGGCATACATGTGAAAAGAGCAACCTCTCAAACTATACGTAGGACAAAGGTCAACGCAGGAGGCACACTCTGAGCTAAATCCTAATTCGCCATCCACATCCAGGTTCTACCTACCTGACTTGCACTACCTTCCTGTCTCTTCCTCCGTACTCCGTCCGTTTTCAACCTCTGTCCTCAATTTCCATCCCTCCTCTTCGGCGTCTCGTTCAGCCGCCGCTTTGTTCGTCGATCGCCCCACTCTGTCTTCTAACCCCTAGACAAAGCGTAGGAAATACTTACTCTACAACTCGCGAATGCTTTCTCCAGCCATGAGTTTATTCTCATGCGTCTGAATAAGACCAGTTACCTCCGAGCCTCGTGAGAGAAGAGATCTAGTCTTCTTTCTCTTCGGCATCTCCAGTTCCCTCTCTTACACACGCGCTCAACGAAACATACACGTGGTGGGTGCCGACGGGTTAATTTTGCTTGCGCATGCGCGGTAAAAAGGCGGAAGCTCAGTAGACACACATTAACTTCACAAGACACAAGAGATGGTATGCAGATTTAGAGGTAACTAGCGTCCAGTCTCTCCATGATATCTGTCCTTCTCTTCTCCGTGTAAGATTTTCTATAGTCAGCCAGGAACTCAATGGCCCTTATCCACCTGCAATAAAAAGTAGCTATGCTCATCGCTCTTGTCTAACTAGTACATCAGTATTGTCTTACTTTCTCATAGTTGGCTGGTCGATGGCCTGTAGCTGGAAAGTCCTGCCCTCGCAATGGACGATGAATGTGCTGCAGTTTTTGTCCTGCTCCTCAGGACAGACTTCATGTACCCCCACACCAGTCATATCTAGTGAACTGTTATACGACCAAAAGTGTGATTAATATTATTATACCCTGCAAACACAACAGTTGATACAGCCAATACTGCGTATGTGCTTGGAGTGGTAAGATAGTTGTAGTGTATAAGCTATTGCTGAACCAACTGTCCATGGACGTAATGCTGCAGTATGCTTGGGAAGTGGTAGATATTGTATGTATTAAGCTATGCTGAACCAACTGTCCATGACGTAATGCTGCAGTATGCTTGGGAGGTGATAGATATTGTATGTATTATGAACCAACTGTCCATGACGTAATGCTGCAGTATGCTTGGGAGGTGGTAGATATTGTATGTATTAAGCTATGCTGAACCAACTGTCCATGACGTAATGCTGCAGTATTGCTGTTCGTGAGATATTGTCATGTATTATGACCAACTGTCCATGACGTTAATGCTGCAGTCATGCATTGGGAGGTGGTACGATTTGTATGTATTATCTGAGACCAACTGTCCATGACGTAATGCTGCAGTATGCATCTGGCGCTGTAGATATTGTATGTATTAAGCTATGCTGACCAACGTCCATCTGACGTAACTGCTGCAGCTATGTACTAACGGATGTGTACATGTTCGGCAGGTGGTATATATACTTTGTATGTGGTAGACTTTGTGCTAGAAACACAATTAGAATTGCCTAACAAGTCATTGTCATTGTGTGTGCAGCTAAGCATAGCAGCAGCATTGCTGACCCTTGTGCCTGTGAGGCGCACGGGGTCAGCATTGCCTAACAAAGTCATTGTCATTGTGTGTGCAGCTAAGTATAGCAGTGGCATTACTGACCCTTGTCCCTGTGAGGCGCACGGAGACTTGTAGTAGTATATCTTGCTGCCTTCCACGCGGAAGAACCGCCGTCTCCATACATTAGCAGTGACTCCTCTCACCCCACGCTTGAACAGCCAGCCCTGGATCTAAATGAGCAATTTTGCACCCTATCATTGCTTCACCGTACATGATTGACGCTGTATTAAGGGGTTACAGTGAAACCTCTGAATAAATGACACTTTGGGGGCATGCGAACACTTTGGACGCGTGTCCTTATCAGAGGTAAGTATGAGGCAGAACCAAGTGTCCCTTATTCAGAGGTAAGTATGAGGCAGAACCAAGTGTCCCTTATTCAGAGGTAAGTATGAGGCAGAACCAAGTGTCCCTTATTCAGAGGTAAGTATGAGGCAGAACCAAGTGTCCCTTATTCAGAGGTAAGTATGAGGCAGAACCAAGTGTCCCTTATTCAGAGGTAAGTATGGGGCAGAACCAAGTGTCCCTTATTCGGAGGTAAGTATGGGGCAGAACCAAGTGTCCCTTATTCGGAGGTAAGTATGGGGCAGAACCAAGTGTCCTTTATTCGGAGGTAAGTATGGGGCCGAACCAAGTGTCCCTTATTCGGAGGTAAGTATGGGGCAGAACATAGTGTCAACCTTTTTCGGAGGTAAGTATGGGGCAGAACCAAATGTCCCTTATTCGGAGGAGTATGGGCAGAACCAATGTGTCCTTTATTCTCTTATTAAATTGTTGCACATATACAGAATGGTAAAGAGGAATAATATTACCTCATGCTTGCGTGAATTATTTTGTGCTCATTCTCCAGTTTCGTGACTGTTTCTTGCAACTTTTTCACCTGTGACAAAATAGAGTAATTAATGTCTGGAGAAGCTGCTATAATCTCACAACCAATAAACCACTTGTTTGTTATACTAACAATAGAGATAGCCATATTTCTACTCTTTTGGGAACTTTGCACATTTGACAGCATACCATGCTGTTCATCTCTTCCCAAGGTCTGTGTGAGCTGTCAGTGATGGTGGGAAGGGGAGAGGGGGGCGGAAGGGAGAGGGGGACACGCTGCTGTTCCTCTGGATGATGGTCCAGACTTGACTCGATGCTGGCACGATGCTTTCTCCCAAACAATTTTTTCCTTCCGTTGTCCTTTTTGGGCTTTCCTGTCGACTTGCTCGCTGCTTCAGAACTTGTGGTTGTATCAGGACTGGATTTGTGTTTGAGCTCACGGCCGGGTGAGGAGGAACGAGAGGTGGAGGGAGATGGTGAGGGTAGAGGATGACGGACGTGGATTGGGGAAAGAAGGGGGGAGCAAGCGGGGACGAGCAGCGGGGACGAAGAGAACCGGGGGAAAAAAAATGAAAAAAAGGGAACAAAATGGGAAAACACAAAACAGAACAATGAAAGAAAAAATGAAAATTTATATACCATCAAATTGAAAAATTATTGAAGCCGATGCGTGTGAGGCGGATGGCAGGATTCGTGGGACAGGGGAAGGTCCAGGGGTTGGGGCTTCCTGTACGGTGGGGGGGGGACCTTACTAATGAAGAAAACATGAGGAAACCCCCCTTTATATAGTGAGAAAATGGCACATTAGCTAAATACTTTTGATAATCATTTAGGGAAATTCCTTGTACTTGGCACCTATTGTATTGAAATATGAACATTATTCGAAACCAAGGATATTCGTTATACTTGACAATGTAGATGCCATGAATGTGAAAATTCTCCTTAAACTAAAGGCTAGGTTGACATTGGCCCCGTCGGGCACTTGCCGATATGCCTGTCGCAAGATAACTCCATTCTAACTGCGGGACCACGAGACGCGGCGGCACGGCGGGCAGAGAAATAATTGTGAGCCCAGCCTAGTTAAATCCTTGACTGCGATCATTGTTTTGTTAATGACAGGTGGCCCGAGAATATATATATATTTCTATCTATACTCACATTCATTTGAAATGAAACATGCCAAAGCTATATAGCACACTTTTTTAGACACTACCTGGAAGTACCCTATACTCATCCTGTGAGAGTCATTTAGACAGACTCCAAACACAATCCCTGTCACAAGCCGCATATTCGCAGGCGTGCTGACCTAAAGGAGACCCTGCATCTCTGCATTCTTACTGAAAGTCACTCACATGTGATGAGTTGAAACGGTAACACTACGCATCACTGACACGTAAAAACACGTGAGTGTGTACATAAGAATTGGGGTGTATGCGGGTAACTTTTGTTCAACACCACATGCTATTTGAACGATATAGAAACCACATGACGATGCAACAAATAGATTAGCATTAAGACTCAGCCTGATATTATCATGTAGCGCAACACTCAATAGCTCATCAGCTAGAGCACATAGATACCCTGATTCTGCAAATTCGCTACATAGTGCCCACTTGAGTTCACACTAGATCTACGTACGGGGACGTTCTCCTAAAGGAAATGCGGGATTCTCGACCTCATCACAACACTATACTGTATCAGACCAAGACAGAAGAGAAGACACGTGAACATCAATCTGTCTACATACCATCTTACACTCACCTGCGCACTCCTGGTCTAAATTAGGAGACACACGAGTTTATAACGCTCACAATGTCAATCGCGGGGTGGCAAGACAAGACCGCCTCTGACTACGATCGCATCTCCATGCTCATACACCACCTACCTTGATTCCTACGACTCTGCTCCACCCGTCTACTCACCGACTACCTATCTCATCCATCGGTCTGTCCTATCGCTCTCACGCTGATCACTCCGTGACAGGACATCTGAGCTTCTTTCCCATTACCTTACACTGTGTCAGTTGTGCACCTACAAACGTGTACTTCTGCATCTTCTAAATTACACTGCACGGTCCTAGACCCGAGACGGGTAGAGACCGGAAGGGCACCTCTAAGGTAAATCACTCTCAGGTGCGAGTACAGAGGGAGAGAGGGAAAGCGGTAAATCATGCTGTCGATCCCGGTAGAGAGAGGGAGACCGAGTAAGGTAAATCGACTTGGAGTCGTCTACCCGCAGCGTAGCCCCGCCGAGAGTGGAAAGTAACATCACATGAGACCTCGGCTAGACATCTCTGACCCCTACTGGCTAGAGAAGCAGTGCGAGAGCGAAGGTAACTCAATCTGGAGGTTAGCCCGACCGAGAGACGAGAGGAAACGTCAATCAACTGTCTGTCAGGGTATCGAGAGAGGGAGAGACGCGCAAGGTAAATCACTGGAAGTAGAGAGATGGTACCCCGAGCGGAAAGGCTGAACCAATCACTGAGAGGTAGCAGAGCGAGAGACTAGACGAGAGTTATAACGAACGAGGTAAAAACCAGTAGTAGAGCGTGAGAGGGAGGGCCGAGGTGGTATGGGGAGGTAGCCGCTAACGTGTGCAGGGTATTCACCGTGTTCAGAGCAGTGTGTTTTTGCCTTGTGCTCGTGCTACCTAGTACTTTCAGTCTATCTAATATACCAAACAAGGGCCGACATTCTTTGGAAATGTGAACTAGTCACATGACCACTGTTACCAAAACAATTTTTGGTGTAATAATCGTTTGAAGGTGCGGGAAAATTTGTTGTGCTTACATTCCTTTGCCCCTCTTGAGTAGCTGAGACGAGAGGGTCATCCCCATAACCACCCGATCGACTTTATGCGATTCGTTGTGGAAAGTCATCTCCAAGGCATCCCTGCAATCAATAGCACATTATTATCAACATCCTCTAGTGAACGGTCACTGTTATTGAAGGTGACAATAATATGTCTTGCAGAAGCTAGGGGCCCCGAAAGACACAATGAAGTTTTTTCCAGACATAGAGAAAAGGATGTTTCTTCTATAATTGTATAATAATTATGCCAAGCAAAAAGGAAATACATCAGCAAGAGTGTAATGCTGACCTTGCATTCATATCCAGAGGGCTTGTGTATTCTTTGAGGTCGATTGTGAACGAAGCCAGAACTTTATTCCCTTTTTCACTTTGCTGTGAAAAAAGCAGGAATTGGGGCATTGTTGGCATGTTACTGTGGTTACACTCACGTCTTGTACGTAATATTTGTACTCCTTTTCTTCAAATCTGTCTCTGCCCTTCCCCTGTGAATTTTAGAGACACATGATCATATGACATCAGGTTATTAGGTTTGCCATTTAACTTTTGGACAAAGATTATGCGTGAATCAATGACCCATAAAATTGGAAATCAGTATAGAGTTTTCACTGCATTCCACGCATCGACCGACCAAGGAGGCGCACAGCAAGAGAATGGGACAGCTGTACTGTGTATATACCTTGTAGAGGGTGACAACAAGACCCACAGAGAAAGACGGTTTAAACTTCGCCTTCCCCGAAGCTCCATTGGGTCCTCGGTCTTCACTAGTGACCCATTTTACCTGTACAAAACATTACATATTGGTCGGTTTCACGATAAAAAACCTTGCTTATTCTCCAAACAATAAAGATAATGACTCTCACTGCTATAGCAACTTTATTAGCTACGATACACACCCAAAGTTGTGCGACCCCCTTACTTACGGGGATGGATTCCACTTTGCGATGGTTTCTGAACCACACGACTTTCAGCAGTGTCGGTCTCCTGCAGTATAAGAAACAATTTTCAATCGAGGCTGCCGATATAATATATATACCACGATAATCAATGAGCCAGGGATGTTAGCTAGCTTACCATGTCCCCTTGCATTCCAACGCGATGTACTCGAATTCGGAGGTAAACTGAAACTGGTACGCCTCCTTACCGAGACGTCTCACTCCCGCGAAGGCTTTCTGGGCGCTCATCTTGAACCTAGTCGAGTCTGACTTGAACTTCTATGCTACTCGCAGCTACGCCTGTCCCCCCACGGCGGTGCCATTATATCGATCGGGATCGCTCTACTGTGCGCATGCGTGAAGTAAACGTGAGATGACTTCCGCTTCCGCTTCCGCTTGCTGCTAGTACGTATAATTATTATACATACTCATCACACGGTGTACAAAAATAACAAGTCACTACTGCATTTTTACGTGAAGCTAAAAATGATGCACACTTGGACTCTACGCCTTGCAGCTCCAGTTTCAGGTCGCTGTCAGGGGTTTGGCTGTTGTTGCTGCTGAGTTCCACACTGTTCATCATCATATATCGCTGTAATAACATATATTATTAACAATGTCGTGTAACCAAACCACCATTTATGAAATTCACCTTTCATCTCACGTCCAACTGCTTCCAGTGCTGGCTTTGTCATGAGAGCTGTCAACAGTGTGTGAAATACATTAGGATCGGCAGAAATGCGTCGCTCCAGTGCCATTAAAATGACTTGAAGTCTTTGGTTGGCTGTTTCTGTTGTCTGTGTGGCCCTTTCACGCTCTTCGCGAGTAAGCAGCATGTTGCTGTAGAGCACTGGCACAAGACTGTCAGGGTCAACACTGTCTATGAAACGTTCGTAGCTCCTCGTGAGAGCTCTTGATGCAACAGACTTGGAGATGTCCCTGGATTTTGGAGGGACCACAGGACGAGCTGGGGCAGGTATCACTGGCAAATGACTGGCTGGCTCTACGGTAAAGAGAAGGATTATGAGGCAGTACAATACAGCAGCCATCAACACAATCCTTATACAGGACAACTATAGGAGTTTGACAGAACGCTTAAATTATTGCTGTGTCCCCATGCTGGGTGATGTGCTCAAAGATTTCCATGCTCTTGTGTACCTCTATACCACCTCACTATTGGATCTACCAATACAGCAGTATACTACAATAATTTTGTAGTAGATACTAGCTGCCCACAGCATTATCTCACACACTTTTCATACTCTGGACTCATGGTCCCACTGCATTCTTACAGACATGTGTACTACCTTTGCTGCTGCTGTTTACACTCTCTGCCTCAGACATTTCCGTGTCCACTCTCTGACTGGACAGAGCTGAAAACGAAACATTTTAGAAGGGATTTTGACAATGTATAATACCCTCTGTCCTTGGTTCCTTGGTGATAGTAACGAAGCTGTCTTTAGGTGTGACTCCTACAAATCCCACTCTCTGGACAAGAGCAGTGGGTGTGAGAGAAGGTATCATTTTCAGCTGCAGTTGAAAGACTGGGACTGCTTGTCCTCCATCATAGTCATCCAGTGCTTCTTTTGGGATCTGAACCATTAAACAATACTAATCACATGGCTAACACGTAAAGCCTTCACATAACTTTGGGCAGCCCAAATAAGAAACATTTCCTTACACAGAAAGAGGAGAGAGGACACAGACTCCAACCATCTTTGCTCCAGGTCTCCTCCGAAGTGTCCAGGTCCAGCGTGATCTGCTCTTTACCAGACATCAACTTTACCATTGGGACTACTGGACCTTCTTCAGCCCTTCGCTCCTTTATACAGCTGTCTTACCTTCTGCAGAGGGTTGAAAATTTCAGCATAATGAATATCCATCATTACTAGACTTTTACCTCCATGAGCAGCTCTTTCTTTAGAGTGACTGTTATGTGGGCCTCGTGTATGTTGAGCTGCTTTGGCACATAGTAAGTGCAAATGGCGTATTTAAGTGGCTTTTTCCTAACAATGTGAGCCAACAGAAGTGGCTAACATCGATGGAAGCCTCTCCAGACTCAGAGAAGGATCCTCTTGGTAGACGCTCAAAGATGTAAGGTGGCGTGTCTTTGGCAGTGTAGAAGGACAGTGCTGCTTCTTCATCATCATCATCCACACAGGCACAGTGCTGGAGGGTGATAGCGACGTTTTTGTCAAATTTCTCCACGGGGAGGATAGAGGGAGAGAGAGTAGACTCCACTGACAAGGACGCCCTCATCTGGAAACTGATAATCTCCCTTGAGACTGGCCTGGATGTACATCGTCGCTGGACCTCTGCTACTGATGGCACCAGCTGGAATGTCGACTTTGAACCCATGTCCTTTCCAGTCATAGGTTAGTGGCTCTTCTGGATGAACTTCTATCTTGGCGTGTGCAAATGCTAGGAAAATCCAAAACACAGGTGCAATTCTCAAAGTTATATATAGCAGGTAAGATTAAGATTAAGATGGTGAGATAAAAACAATCAATGGGAGTATTGAAAAGCACTTTATCAGGAGTAAGTTACCTGCCCACATGACATAGACATTGCATGTGTTTCTAGTGCGCCGAAAGTTTACACTTAAGGGCTGGGCCACTGCGATGATTTTCCAACACACACATTACAGCATGGTGACAGCACCATAGAAGGTGGCACAATTCGTACTACTAGGTAGGCTCGCTGTTGCTTCCTATGATAGGTTCCATCACTGTTTACTCCCTTTTATCCCGTTTTCTGCACACAACAGGATTAAGGAAGTCCTAGCCATACAATGCTGATTTGGGGATGGGGCTGTCACCAACTTTTTGTCAAACACAAAATATTTACATACCTTCTCTGCTGAGTGAGAGCAAATGAAGAGTGTCTTGAGCCTGGATGTTAGAGTTACCCAGGGTCTGTCTGTCTTCCAGCTCTCTACCATTGAATAGTAGTCGTTGTTGGTCTTGTGGTATTCCCTCCCTGTCTTGAATTTCAGACTTCACATCCTCAATAGTGTTATCAGGGTCGAAATACATATTGATGGTCTGGCCTGTTTATAAATGTCTTCATAAAAAGCTATCTCTCTCTTGGCGTACATAGCTAGTTCAATACATAGAGGGCTGTGAGATATTACCCTGTCCTGACACCATCTGCCGTTGAACACCACAGAAAAATATAGCAGTAGCATTCAGAATAATATTTATGTTTGGTCGACGCCTTTTATATGCCCACGCATCATGCTACAAGAAAATACCTACCTGTCATTGTCTTCACCAAAAATCCCGCTCTACCCCCCCCGACAACCGAAGAAAAAAGAAAATAGTAGAATGATTCTCAATGTTATAGTCAATCAGGGTCCGTCCATCTTTCAGAGCTTGACCAGAAAATATGAGTACTAGTTTGTCTGGTCGTATTCCCTCCCTGTCTTGAATTTTATACTTGACAGCCTCAATGGTATCACTGGCCTCCACATCCAAAGTGATGGTACTGCCCATCGGAGTCTTCACAAATATCTGCATGCTGAGCAGGAGTGGATAGCATGGAGCCACAAAACGATACACAGAGATAGCCCACGCGCAGCGCGTAAACGCTGAACCATGCTTCGATCTCCATGGCGCTACTAGTTATGGACTTATAGATAATAGGCCATCCCTGTCTTGTCTACTACCATCTTGTCGCATTCACAGTAGCTACAATGTATAAGCTAACAAAAAGGTAGTAGCTAAACAATCAACCTTGTCGTCTAAGCTACTTTTTTACCTGACAGAGTCCGAACGAAAATTTGATGCTCCCGACCTGAACTGTGAATGAAACGTTATATTTTACTGTAGGCTGGGGTAGTTCTATAATAACCTGTAAGTTTGAGGACGCTCTGAACGACAACGGCGGTCGAGCGCAGCCAATGGCGTAGCTAGCTAGGGGTACGTGTGTGGGTGGGGCTCTGCCGAAATGCGCATGCGCGGCTTTGACCGTGCATGCCGCGCCCCACGCGCGCGTGCACGCGCGGCGGTATCCTGGCCTAGCCTAGGCCTAAGCCTTTGCGCTGGTGCACGTGCTTATGTAGCTACAGTGCGCATGCGTGAAGTAAATGTGAGAGGACTTCCGCTTGCGCTTGCTCGAGCAGTTGCTAATCAGTCATTACAGTGTACAAAAAATAATAGTAACTACAAGTTACTATACTGCAACACTACGTGAAGCTAAAAAATTATGCATGCTTGGAATCTACGTCTTGTAGCTTCAGTTTCATTTCCCTGTTGGGTGTTTGGTTGCTGCTGCTGTTGTATTCCCTGCTCTTCATCGTCATAAATCCCTGCAATAACATTAAAAGATGCGCCCAAATTGCGTGGGCGTCGATATTTTAGTTATTTTTTTCAATAGCATGGCTAAAACGCTCGTGAATTATAGTGAATTTTGGTACCTGTCTCGGATTTTTCACTCCTTGTTTTACAAGCTCATTAGCATATTCATATTCCTCCTCCATACATTCTCTATGGGAGAGAAAACCAGTGCGCGACTTCACCGGGAGCGAACGGTTCCTCGCCATTATGCGCAGTAGCGTTCTTTCCGCCTCCTACGGTACGCGCAGGCGTATTAAAGCCAGTTTCAAAAATGGGTGTGGCCACGTTTTGAGTATTACGTATTCGTTGAACTTTGCCACGCAGGGGCTACGCCCATTTTTTCTTAATAGCTCTAATACGCTTCCGCGTACCGTAGGAAGCGGAGAAAACCACTGCGCATAGTAGAGACGGACGGTTCGCTCCCGGTGAAGTCGCGCACTAGTTTTCTCTCCCATAGAGAATGTATGGAGGAGGAATATGAATATGCTAATGAGCTTGTAAAACAAGGAGTGAAAAATCCGAGACAGGTACCAAAATTCACTATAATTCACGAGCGTTTTAGCCATGCTATTGAAAAAAATAACTAAAATATCGACGCCCACGCAATTTGGGCGAATCTTAACAATGGCGTAATACCAAATCCACCTTTCACCAAATTCACCTTTCATCCCACGTCCAACTGCTTCCAGTGCTGGCTCTGCCATGAGAGCTGTCAACAGTGTGTGAAAGACATTAGGATTGGCAGA